CTAGAACCTTGGAAGAACATGAAAGCATAAAAGTCAGTCCTACTACTTGATTTTCTTTCAACTGTAAAGTGTTTACATTTCTGTAGCAAAATCTTGTTTGCTTTTTAAGAGTTCAGGACTTCGGCACAATTAAATGAAAACATTCCTGACAAACGACAAAAACGTGTAAAAACCTAGGGCAGGACTCAGCATTTAAAATGTAGGTAAATTTTTCTCCAGCAGTTTTTAAAGGCTGGGGTTGGTGGGGGTTTTTTGGTGCTTTGCATTGAGAAGGATTGCTACTGGAAGAAACAAAGGTTTCAAACCAGGGTTTTTTTTCAGCAAAATGAAGGTTTTTAAAATGGGAATTTCATGCAGTTTCCCAAAATGGTTCTGCTTAGGCATTAATGTAATTTATATTTAGCACAAGACCACAAACAGACAGATTGCTAGACTAGACTGTCTCAGGGACAAGCAAACCATTCTGCTTCTTTACTCACAGTGTTGCTAAAACAAAGAGCATGGCAGTAACATAGGAAATGAACACAAAGTAGAAAAATATGACATTTCGAAAATAGTGGTTGAAGAAATGACATTGGAAGGCTGGGAAGAGATCCAGCCCCTCCCCAGGTAAAGCAGTGGGAGCATCCTTAGCTGAGCTCCAGTGACACAGTCAGACAAACTGCAACCTCAGACCACTTCAAGTCCGAAATTACAGAGTGCCTGTACAAAACAAACCTTCACAAAACACCCCAGAGAGCCTCCTCTCATCTCCCATCCCTGGAAAATCCCCCTCTGTGCCATTGCTCCAGCAGGAGCTGGAGGAGGCACCTGCCTGTGGCTCCTCTGCACTGAGCACAGGCCCTGGCTTTGTGCAGGTTCTGATCTCACCAGGAGGAGCTGTTTGAGTCTCTCCCAGCCACTCGGGACAGTGGAACATGTTCTTGCATCACGTTACTGGGGCCAGAAGACTGAAGAACAAGCAGAGGCTTTTACCGGAAGATTGAAGCGTTTCTAGACGGTGACTTGGCAGGAATTTGTGCAGAAAACCTCTCCTGCCCCTCAACCCTGGGCACTCAGAGTGAAACCAATCAGCAGAGATGCTCCTACTGACTGACTCTCAACCAAGGCACAAGGAGATGAAGACACAGTGAAAATTAAATACCTGCCTCACCAGGTCCTCCCCTGTCCCTTTAGTCTCCTCACTCTCTTCTGTTAGTTTGGTAAAGGGGGCACAGACACTTCAAGTTCATATTCCTGTTCCAGAATACACCCCTAAAGTAACAGCCTTAGACCAAGTTTCCCAGGTGTAGCACTTGCTCATGGAAAGAGAACTTTGCCTTTGACTGGTGTGAAGCCACTAAATAGTCCAAGTCTGACAAGCAGCTCAGTGTTCCTAAACTTAATGAGTTTCCATCATTTATTTCATTTTTTTTTTACAATAATCTTTAACCAGGGACAAAGTCTTTCTTTGTGTGTATCATTAAACATTCACTGTCTCAGCATTCCACTGTTTTTGTAGAAGTAAAAGCCATTAGAATACATTATTAATTTTGAAGGCACTAAGAACACTCACTGACTTCAAAAGCATCTTTGAAACAAAGGAATCCTGAACAGCGAGGCAGGATTTGCAGCATCTGATGCAACCAAGCTACACAAGTTGATACAAAAACTCAAAAGCATCCTGTATTCAAAACAAACTATGTTAAAAATGTAACAGAACACAGTTCAACTCAGAGGTGCCTAAAAACTTCAATGAAAATTCCTAAATCCACTCACACCCTATTTACATTAGAGGAGTGCACAAAAACACAATCACCATTGGAAATTCATGCACAACCTACCTCAGATTCTGTTCTCAGATGCAAAGAATATGTTCATTCAAATAAAGATCTGGTGTGCTAATGTGGTCATGAATGGAAGTATTTGAAGAAAAGAGGGCAAACAAACTTGACAGCACTCTGAAGGTTTTTTGTTGGTGGGGATTTTTTTTTTTAATTGGTTGGGGTATTTTTAGGATATTTAAAAATGAAAATTAATAAAGCAATAATTTCTAAATTGTTACCACACTTCCTATTTTTTCCCCTTTCAATGTGTCCAATTGCCACATACGATCCACTTTAACTCCTTTCAACAACTTATCACTGATCACTCCTGTGCAAGGATATACCACTTTAAGTCTACAAAGAGACTTAGAACAGGGAATCCTTTTTACCCAGAAAGCTGTATAAATAAAGAATTTAATCTGATCATTTTCATATGCTGCCAGGCTTTGGATGGATAAATGTTTCCAAAGAGCTGGCGCCTCTGTTTTGGGTAGGAGTGGGTGGAATATTGCAGGATTCCCCTTCCCTCCCCCACTGAAGCAGAATCTGGTCTCTATTAAAGGCATTTTGGCTGTAATTCTACTGTCAGGAATATCCTGATTTTATACAGTGTTGCAATTCCTAAAACCATCATTAACACTGATGAGATCCTGCTCCACGGCTGCCAGTTCTGAGTTTTGCTGTCTGTGCCAAGCTTAGAAGGAAAGAAAAATCTCAAGTTTTAGTGATGCTGAGAGCTGTGTGGAGATCATATTAAAGAGATTATGAGGGCAGTACCTTCATGTGTGTGTAGCATAACATCCACAAAAATTCACTCAGCACACTTAGAACTGACCTTTTCTATAAAAAACCCTTCAAGTATCAGCTCTGTAGTACAACCAAAGATGCTGTTTGACCTTTTGAAGTGCACAGGCAGTCCCCAGGGCAGGCTGGATGGGGGTTTTTCCAGCTGCCAGCAGTGCAGGGTCAGCAGGTACCACTGACAAACCCTATTTCCAAGCTGACTCTGCCCAGCTGCTGCATTAGAGTGGAAGTCAAGGAAGCAGTGACTGGTTTGGAAACCTGGTTCCTGTTTAGGAATGCACTGTAAGTCTGTCTCTGCTCTCTCCCCTGTCCCACCCAGAAGATCCCAATTTTTATGCAGTCCTAAGATCTAGATTGCAAAAGCTCATCTGTAAACATTCCAGGGACACAGTCAGAACATCTTACCCTAAACACACAAATGAAAACTGAAATGTGAAAACCAATTATAGACCTACATTTGAGGTAAAAATCTCTTGGTTACACATATTAAACATGTACAGTAAAATAAATAGCAAAATATGAACAAAAATGTATTGCAATTATTAAAAATCTGTATTTGCCATCACATAAATTTGATGCACCTTTTGACATTGTTTTTATTCTGCTTAAACATATTTCAAATCAGTAATTTTTTCTTTTCTTCCCTTCTGTAGGTGATTACACCAGTGCTTTAGAGCTAGGACAACAACTATTGTTTTAAGAGAAAATGGGTACTAATAGCTAATAAGGACATCACCTAATGACAACTGCCTGCTGCCTTATTAAGAGCAAGAGTCTTTTCAGTAGTTATTGAATCCAGCTCCTGCAGACAGCCAGGGATGGTGCTTTTTGTGTCTCAGTGTCAGGAGTTTTGATGTCTGTCATGAAACCCCAGATGCTCAGTATTACCTCAATCTCACTGTTCACTGAAAGAGTTTTTTTGCACAGCTTAGCTGTAAGGAAGTGTTTTCTACACTCAGAGGAAAAATTAAGTCTCTCAGAACTGCAGAAGTTATTTCATGAAGCCTCATTCTTTTTGAACCTTCAGCATTCAGTATGCACACAGCTGCTTCTCTGCAGTGACAGGAGTGGGGATGAAGGACACAGTAAAGGAAAATAAATCAAGAAAAGCTTTAAGTAAATTGAGGTCAAAGACATAAGGCCAGACCTAAAGTTCCTACTCTATGTTGTTAAAATTAGAGCAGGTGCCACAGACTTAAAGCTAATTCTACCTTCCTTCTGAACTGAGCCCACAGGCAGGTTCCAGCTGTGCTGTGACAGAATCACTCAGCTAATCCAGCTGTTGCTCCCAGGATCCAGCAGCAGCCAGGCTTCCAAGGCAAGGATTTGACCCTTGTTCCAGCAGACCCCTGACCCGGCTGCAGCAGTGTTTGCAAGGAGACACCCTCCAGCCACCCCTGCAAAGTGAGAGACAGTGTTCTCTGCCTGCCTGTTCCCTCTCATTCTCATGTTCAGCGTCTTCCAATTGTACTTGGAAGGGAAGAAAGTCTGTCTCATCATCCCAATTATCAGAAGGGATGCCAAAAGAAAAGTAGCTTAGCAATAACAATAATCAAATTTTCTAAAAACCGGAGCACCAGCAGATTGATCATATTGGATTATAGCAAAGCCAGGCTGCACTGATGAGCCAGGAAGTAAGAAACAGCATTAGTAAGGGAGAGAAATTCAGAGCATTTCTGTGCTCTCCCTATTCTCTGCCTTAACTTGCCAACTCCCCTCATGCATTATTACTCGTCCTCTTACAGCTCCTGCCTTTCTGACATCTCAGAGCAGCTGGTTTCCATTCCCCTTCCTGGCTCCTCTTTTCTGCTCAGTAATTTCTGCTCTCATCAAGAAAGAACAAGATTCAATACTGTGGGGCCCTGAAGAAGCAAAGAACAACACAGGGGGAACTACACCAGTGAAAGAGAGGAGCAAGGCTCCCTGCCAGCAAGAAGAAGGTGAGAGGACAATAGAACTAGCCTGTGCAAGAAAGCAGACTGTGGCATCTGATTAAATTCACTGATAATGTTTCCCACAACATGGGATAGCGAGATCCAAAATTATGCCCACAGCTCCCAAAGCCTTTTCTGTGTTCATGAGAAATGCACGGGGCAAAGATCCCTCTCCCTGCTATTAAAGTATCATTTGAGAGAGAAATGGAACTCTGTGAATAAATATGTCCTTACAGCTTAAGTACCCATAGAAAAGGCCATCTACAGAAAGGAAAAAAGGATAAAGGTCAGAGAATTCTTATAAAAACTTTAAAAACTTTAAATCCATTTTTAGAAGAGTTAAAACCAATGCATTTTGCAATTTTTATATGATGGCATTGAACAAACAGAAAATACACAACATTGTACAAACAGACAAACAAATGGAAACAATCTAAAGGTTTGGGAAAGTACTAACCAGTTACTGACAGCAGCTGTGAAACCCTCACCTCCATTTCCTCCCGGTGAGACCTGTCTCTGTCCTCGAACTCGCGGGTTCTCCGCCGAGCCTCCTCGAAGGCTTGTTGTGCCAAGGCATCCTCCTGCTACCAAAGCAGACACACAGAGTGACACAAAAGGCAACCCTCACTTCTGCCACATCACAGTTCTCGGGCACAGTAAGGATCACTCGGCAGCAAAGTCCAGAATGTCCCACAGAACCTGCCAGAACAGACGAGCTCTGGCAAATGCCAGCCCAGGTCAGTGAAATAACACTCACCTCCACTGCAGCAGAGACAACCAAGGCTGGGGCAGCTTTGCTTAAAATACATTTTCAAGGGAGAGCTGCTTTTCCAAAGTAGTTTAAATGCTGCTGTTCTTTGAAAAAGCTAGGAATTCTCAGAAGTTGTATGAAAAAGGCAATACATCTTATTCTCCTTGTAAAAGTAATTTTGAAGGCAGTATTCACAGGTATAGCTAGTCAGAGTCCACTAGCATCACTACATAAACAATGCTAATGTAATTCTCTTGCATTTAAAAAAAAGTATTATCTAAGTTACAAATCAAATAAATCCTTCATTTTATCAAAAGCTGCTGCAGGTGCATCAGTATGAACATTCTTAATCCTTATGTTTTAAATTTATATAATTATATAAATTTATAATCCATATATTATATAGTTATAATTTATAATTATATACATTTATAAATTAAATTATATAATAATAAATCTTTATTATTTAAATTTAATAAATCCTTATTATTTAAATTTAGGTGCATAAGAAAGTGCAAAGCAGAAATTATTCCTCCACAAATTAGCACACATCCCCATACATTGGAGGAGAAACCTGCAGCTTTTCAATAGCTCTGTAGTTTATTTTCAACAATGGCTTATGCACAGGAATAGATTTAATAAATTAACACTCAGAAAAAAAAAATCCTTCAAACTGTATCTTCTATTAGAAAATGTTTTAAATAAACTCTTATTAGTATGTAAAGCCATTATTATTTGTCTTAGAAGTTATTTCTCTTGAAGAGGTCTTTTAACACATATTTTCTGTTCCCCATCAGAATTTTTACATTTTCAGAATGGAGGAGTCGAGTCTAAAGAGGTTCCACAAAACAGTAAAGGACAAACTGTGCTGGTTCTCCCTCCCCCTGGCTCTCCAGCTGGAATTACCCCTGACCTGCTCACCATTCCCACACACACAGACGTTACTTCAAAGCTGACCATTTTGAGAAGCCAACCTTGACTGCTGGAGGACACAAACCTGCAGAGAGCCCAGCTAAGTGTTCACCTACCAGGGGATTGAGCACATCAATTTTTCAATTTCAGATAAAGCAAGCCCAGCCCCAGAAAACCTTAAATTGCCTTTTTTGCCGTGGGCACAGTGCAGGGCCCTGGAGCTGCTCTGGGAAGTGATGGGAAGGGGCTCCCTCGGGCCCAGGGCAGGGAAACACAAACAGCTGCCAATCCACTGCTCCACAGCTCCCAGGAAAGCCACGGAGCAAGGCAAGGCTGAAAGCTGCCAACATTTTCACACTACCTGCTACTTTTAAGAGTAGAATTTGGCCCTTTATAGGTATCTTAATGTTCATCCAAGGCACAGCAATCAAGGTCAGACAGCAGAAAGTAAGTTTGTTCTTAATAATGCAGAAGGAGAGAGAGAAAACAGATAAGCTCATCTCCCAGATGACTACAGGAAAGCTGCCTCCTGGTTTACAGAAGAGAGTTATGTCTTTATTACCCTTTTCTTAAACAGACTTAAATAGAAGCAGATTCTTTTATCATCAAAGGTTTTTGCATTTTGCCATCATTTACAGTGGTCATGAACTGAAAGGATGACACACAGCCTCAGCCAGAATATTTTAAAGAAATGGTCATAACCAAAAGAAGCCAAATTAGAAATTTATGGGGGGAAAAAAAAAATCAGTATGTTGACATGCAGGATGAAGATGTGCTGACAGCTGAAACAGTGGTTTACTAATGTCTGAGAAAGCAGAAGAAAAAAGCATCAGAACTTTCTTTTTTTTTAGTAAAAAAAAAAAAATTCTGCTCTACTCTTGGTGATACATTCTAACAAATTAACCAATGTCTCAATCTTATACAACGGGAATTTAACAAACACTTTTAAAAATGTCACTCGATTCTAGGAACTACAGCCTAGTGAATGCAGCTGTATGAGACCAAACAATTTATACATCTTAGTTTTATTCCACAGAAACGCTCCTGGTATGAATCTAGTAAGAAAAAAAAGAATAAGCAAAACATGAGCTGTATCAATACAACAACAGAATGAAAACAAACCTCCCAATCCAGAAAATTTAAAAAAAAAAACCAAGACAGAAGCTTACACCCCCCCACTTATACACACAACCCCCCAGAGCAGCCTGGTAGGAAAAGGTTTGGTGAGACAACAGGATGCTCTACTACAGAGGAGATGCAAAACTGCTGGAGACAGAAACAGTCTCTTAAGGACACTCAAATATCAAATCCAGGGAAATTTCAGCCCCAAGTAGGGAAGATATTCAAGGGTATATGTACATCTGTGTGTGAGTGCATCAAAGGCTGAACAAGCAGCAGAATCAGGGCCTTTAGCAATAAAAAGTAAGAGTGCTCAGTAACCAGACATGAACAGGCTGAGGATTAAGTGGAAAACAGTAGGTTAACAGTTACAACTAAAGTACTTCAGTGTTATGCATGTGGATTTTCTTCCTAAAATATCTGCTGACCTGCTGAAGGACAGTATAATTTCTGAAGTGTGACAGCAAAGAGAAGTTTTATCTGATCTCAGCATTAGTTAGTAAAGAAGTGGCAAGAGACAGGAAAATGCGAGAGCACTACTTTTGTACAAGGCAAGCCTTCCAGAAAATGGGTGTGTTTGCACACCAGCAGGACCTTTTCTCACAAGGGACAGTGGGTACCACAGGCCCTACAATGCAGAGTAGGAGGCACTTCAGCCCAGTGTGACATCAGTGTTATTTTGGGATGAATGTCAGCAGTTGGGTCAACGGCCTCTAGCAATATTACCACAGTTTTAAACAAGGAAGCAGAGTGACAGATACAGGAAAAAGGAAACTTAAGACTGTGAAAGATTGCCCAAATGTTTCCAATACTAACAGATGTAAGGGTGCAGCTCCTTCTGTGCCTGTACAGTTCCTCATGGCACCAGGAGCCCTTGGGTACTACTGCTGTAGCAAATGAGGTGACCAAGGATGAGCTCACGATCGCCAGGAAGCACAAACTGAACACAAATTACACGCCTGTAACTGAGTGCAAACACATCCACACAGGGCAATACCTCCAGCTCAGCACCCTGTACTCACAGGGTGAGTGTCAGAGACAGCACTGACACCTGGGAGCACACACACATCCCCTCACACACAGACAGAGCACAAACCACAGCTCCAGGGCACAAACACTTCCTGGAGACAGCAAAAACGAGTTGTGAAGTGTTGTTAAGACAGCATTTACACATCAAGAAACTAAAATAGCTTAAGCACTTGCAAAAATATTTATTGCGAAATTAAGAAGAGAAAAATTGAACCACAGGTCACCTGAGCACTCTCCTTTTTGGAAGGGTGCTTGTCTTTTTGAGGAAAAAATTTAGAAAGCAGTGACACTGTCTCCTTCTGAGTGCATGTTCCCATCAGTCTGCTCTCAGTTCAGAACTCCTGTAATTTGGTGTTACGTATCAAACTTACTAACTGTAGATCAAGAACCTTGGGGTTTGTCCTGCACAGTCCTCAGGGCTCTTCACCTGCCCTGGCTGTGTAAGCCAGTGCAGCCCAAAGGCCTCCTGCTCCATGGAGTCCAGGGCACTGACTCTGCTGCAACTGGAGCTGAGCTCAGAACATCAACACACAGCTTTGCAAGAAGTGAATGCACAGCAAAGAGTGGATTTTGAGTAAAAGCTTGGCTTGTGGCTTTTCTTGTGCATTGACAAAAGGTGGCAGGACTATTCTCTTTCTAGGCATCATGAAGAAAGCATGCAGGGCTGTGACTGCTTCTAACACACTCTTTTGGCACAAAGCATTTCTATTTAATCCAGAACACAGTCATATTAAGAACATCTAATTAATGTGCAAATTGGTTTTTTAACCTAGGGAAAGGCAAGGCACCACAATGGAGGAAACTTCTTGGTATTTTGGTGGAACCAAGGGGCTCCTACTCATGATGTAGTGACCAACTGCAGCTGTAGAAGGACTGAAAAGGAAACCCCACAGAAGTGAGGGCTGAGAATGAGGCAGAGAGTGGAAATAGAAAATGCATCCTTATTTAAATCCAGGGCACAACTGCCAGGAGTAACCCCCCCACAGGGCTGAGTTCATCCCAAAATATAGACTGTAAGCCATAACTCTGGTAACTGATGTTACTACATCCAACTTACTGTCCAATACACAGACAGGTGACCTGCATGGAAGCCCACAACAAACCTGGTGCAGCAGCTTTTAATATCAGTTGAGTGGATTTGTTACCCAACTACATTTCAAAAGCAAAGACATGTCTCAAGTCTGACCAAGTTAAAGAATCCTACTGTGTGAGTGAACCTTGTCTAGGTGACATCCACTTTAAAAGGCATTTCCTCTGTCTTGACTTTGTTCTTGTACATGTCCAAAGATTCAGCTGCTAGACAGGAATTTTGCTGGTAGGAAGTGGGCAGGTAAGTTCTCAAAGGCTGCCACACCTTAACAGAGCAGAGAGTCCACCAGTGTTAGGGGACAAATAAAACCACTCTTCATTCTCACCCACATGCAATAAAACAAAAAGCTACTTAAAAAGACCTCTATCACCCTAAAAAAACCAGCTAGAATAGACTTGCCAATCAAATTGTTACAGGATACATGCATAGTTTTTCAAACACTTTGATTTACTACTCTGTAGCATAGTAACAGTGTGGCTGTAAACTACAAGTGATCCCCACCCCTAATATTTGATCACATATTTCTGAACTTTATACCATAAGTTTCCTTTGGAGTTTGTATTCAAAGTGAAGGCAGAAAAAAAGCAAACAGGAATTGTGATCACTACCTGACTGCGTGTTTCCTCCCAGAAGAACAAATGTCTGAGGCACAGTACCCGAGGGCAGGCTGTCTTACCTGTGCTCTCTCTTCATCAAATTCCAGGCAGCCCATTCCATCCAGTCTCTGTAGGTCTATCCAGCCTTTCCAGATCACACAGACACCATTGAGAATCATGGGTGCCTTCAAGTACACCTGAAACAAAAGCCAACCACAGCTGTGAGTTTGAAAGCGCTCACACACGTGCCTGCACAATGAACAGACTGATCCAGGAAGCTCCTCCGTGCATTCCTAGAAGAACATCCAAACCAGCTGGTAACATGAGACTCCATTTAACAGCTTCTTCTGCCTCCTTTCCAAGAACTCATTTTAATCAAGTGAGTGCTTTAACCTTTGCCTACTGTACTGGATGGAACAAATTTAAGCTGTGTTCTCATTTTATAAACTGGCATGCACCAAGATTTGGTTAGAACTCTTACTCCTTTCAGTTAAATTAACTGTTTTTCTTGTCAGCTAGCCTTCCTGTCACAAAGGAAGTGGCACAGTGCCAGATAGGGAGGATCCTTTACAGCACATTTAAACAGTTAAATGAACACACACCTTCCTACTCCCAAGAAGCACTGCATTGAGCCCCAACACACGAGAGCTTTCATCAAAGAGCACGTACTGGTTTCAGTCCTCCTCAAACCTATGAACTAGTCAGAATTCAATAAAATACACTCTATATACACATTGTGCTAAAAATAAGGAAGTCTTCCTCTGTCAATTCTAGCATGTGGGAAAGGCTGTTCAAAAGAAGCAACACCAGATGATGAAAACCCAAGTACAGCACCAATGTGCACAGTGCCTTGAACTGCAGCAAGGAATAATGCATGAGCTTAAGGCCCCACATCTAGATAATGGTAGATGATACAGTCATGACACAAGGGAACTTAAAAAGAAGCAAATACAACATTAAATGAGTTTGACGTGTTATATTTAATGACATCAGCCTCAAACAAAAGTCACAGCAAAATTACCCCAATTGTACAGAAAAAAAAATAATTAAAAAGCAAAGATAAAAATCAACCTTCTGTGGTTATTTCAGCCTACTTGGCAAGTCAAAACCCCTTGTTGAACAGAGTTTGTCTGTGTTGAATCACCAGAGAGGCAAACCATGCACGCAGGCCTGCACCCACTTCAGACTGGAAGACTGCTCACACAGATCAAATCCAGAGCTTTTTCAGCCTTCTGGAGCAGCTCAGCCAGGTGGGGGAATTCTCACACAGCTCTTCCTCTAACAGCTCTAAATGAATGCTCTGACACATCCTCCTCCAAGCCTAATCGATGCTCAGCACCTCAGAGCAGCCCAGCTGTGCCTCCCTGCTCAGCTCCACACTCACCAGCTCAGGTCACTCGAGCAGAAGAGGAAAAGCCCAGAGGAGCAGGAGCCCCAGAGGAAGGTGAGCCTCCCACATGCAAAGGCACTAAACAACATGAAAGGCAACCCACGAGTGGGAGAAAGGGAACAAATAACGTGAATCCAATTTACCAGAAAAAAACCACACATTTAATCTCCAAGCTTGACTTCTACAACTTATCACACTTCGGCCGAAGTGACGCCCCCCTGATGTTTAATGAGTGCAATGTGCAGGAGCTCAGTGATGAAGGGCTAAGGGTTAGTTCAAGGGATCCTCTTCCCATGTGCACTCCCCTGCAGGGTCTCTGCCGAGGGCACAGACAGTGCTTGGTGCTGGCACTCGGGGCACAGCCCTGGAGTCACCCCCAGCCCTGTGTGGTGCCAGCACAGCCCGGGGCACAGCTCTGGGACACAGCTCTGGGACACAGCTCTGGGGCACAGCTCTGGGGCACAGCTCCGGGACACAGCTCCGGGACACAGCTCCGGGACACAGCTCTGGACACAGCTCTGGGACACAGCCCGGGGCACAGCTCTGGGGCACAGCTCTGGGGCACAGCTCCGGGACACAGCTCCGGGACACAGCTCCGGGACACAGCTCTGGACACAGCTCTGGGACACAGCTCTGGGACACAGCTCTGGGGCACAGCTCTGGGGCACAGCTCCGGGACACAGCTCCGGGACACAGCTCCGGGACACAGCTCTGGACACAGCTCTGGGACACAGCCCGGGGCACAGCTCTGGGACACAGCTCGGGGCACAGCTCTGGGGCACAGCTCTGGGCACAGCTCTGGGACACAGCTCTGGGGCACAGCTCTGGGGCACAGCTCTGGGACACAGCTCTGGGACACAGCTCTGGGACACAGCTCTGGGACACAGCTCAGGGCACAGCTCTGGGACACAGCTCTGGGACACAGCTCTGGACACAGCTCAGGGCACAGCTCTGGGCACAGCTCTGGGACACAGCTCGGGGCACAGCTCTGGGACACAGCTCTGGGACACAGCTCTGGGACACAGCTCTGGGACACAGCCCTGGGACACAGCTCGGGACACAGCTCCGGGCACAGCTCGGGGCACAGCCCAGGGCACAGCTCTGCCCCACGGCCTCTGCGAGCAGAGGTGTCACAACCAGCGTGAGTAAGACGTGGACTACCAGGAAACCACCTCCCACAGCCCTCATTTCGAGACTGAGCATTTCAAACACGCAAAACACATCCCACCCTCTCAGAACAGCCCTCACTCACCCATCTCACAAGGAGCAAAGTGCACATCATCAATTTAATACATGTGTTTAACTAGTTTAGAAGTGAAAAACAGTTAAAAGAGGCTATTAGTACCAAGTGTCATTCTCTTCTAAGAAGAATGAAGAATAATTCAAGAGGGGAAATAAAAAAACTGCACAAGCCAACTATGGGTCTGTAAAGACAAAGCAGCCTGTACTCTAATCTAGTTATATTTTACAGGAGCAAACAAGCCCTTTGCTGATCTTCACTTAGGATTTACTTCTCACCTGGCCTCCCCTACCCTTCTGGCCCACAGCAGGAGCCTGGCATGTCAGAATTTACTTAGAACTTCCCACAGATGACAAAACCTGCCTTCCCAAGTTGTCCAGGAGTAACTTTTTGTTCGTTTCTTTGACAAGGAATGTGGTGCCACCACTACCTCGTTTCAGTGGCTGTTCACTGCCCTGGCCACTGCAGCTGCCAGGGCATTATGTGCAAACTTCCTGGCTCGGTGCAAACAGCAGGGAGCTCAGACACAGCTGCTGAGGGCTCAGTGCTTCAAATGCAATGCCCCACACATCACCTGGGAGCCCGAGCAGTGCTGGAAATCCTGTGGAAATCTTCAGAAGTCAAAGGGAACCAAGCTGTGAGAGCCAATGTGATCCCTGGGGCTGCTCTCTGGGATCCTTGGTGCTATCTGCCCCGAGCACGCTGCCCAAAGCTGAGCTGCTGACACAGCAGCTGGGGAACCTCTGGCACACGGCCTGACCTTTCCAGATAAATCCTGTGCCCTTGCTCCCGAATCAGAGCCACCACCCATTCAGTAGCTCTTCAAAACTCTGATAAATAATCATTTTTCCCTTCTGAAAGATGAATTCCTTAGCAAGATATTCAGGTTTTGAAATTACCATATAATCATTCAAATGTAGTATAATTCATATTGAAACCCCACGAGTTTAGGCAGGAACTTTTCTCTCATTAAAACACAATAAAGCATACTGATACTTTTTAATTTATTTTAGAGAAAGGAATTTAGACTCCTTTTCCCCCTCTCTCCTCTTTCTGGAAAATAGAAACCACCTAAGACTATAGCCAAAAACGTTTAACCACACATTTCCTTCTTTTCGATAAAGCCATGCTGGTTCCCTTTCAACTTCTGAACTTAACAGAATAATTAATAAATTACTGCTCTGCCTGTGAGCACATGATCTGTTATGGTACCTCAAAATCCAGCAAAGTGGTCTTTTAAAAAATTTCAGAATTGCCTGCTCTGAAAGTTGCCTCAAGACAGTCACAGTAGGAGATCAAAAGCAAAAACTGTGTTATTTCTCCCCCCCATTAATATTATACAATTACACAATTTGATTAGAAGTAGACAAAAGAACTTTTGTAACTGTTTCAAGGTTTTACTGTTAACCCCAGGTTAACTGCATTTATATATTTTTATAAGTCCTCCACACATCTCTGGGTGCTTTTCGTAATAATACCTGGAAGTCAGTCCTGTAAAACTCCAGAGACAGATGAAAAGCACTAAAGAGCAGAAGGAAGGTTGGAAGTCAGGCAATTAACAAATTCATATTCAGGGGACAAATCTAATGCTACATAAAGAAACACCACTATAGGGACCTACAAGAGGAAAAGATCAATCATACAGCTGCCTCCTTTCAGTACAGCCCAACCTATAAACCCGACGAGGTGTGGCCTTTCTGACACTGAGAAGAGACACCTGTGCAGCTGAGTAAAGAACTCATACACAAGTTCAAGGATGAGAGTAAGTCCTCTCTCATTTTGCGCCCTCGTTTTCCACACACTGGCACGGCCAAAGCTGGTTTGTTAGACTGTGAGAGCCAAGTAAACTGTCATATACCAAAATATGCAATTTTTACTTGACTAGCAGCTGAATTTTTGTTCAGGTGGCTATTGTACAAATAATTTCATCTCAAACGACATCTTCCATTTCCAACTTCTACTACAGATCAAAGTAGCATTAGAATTTTTAAATGAGAAAAGCAGACATGTTGCTTTGGAAGCAGCCTTTTAGTGTTAGAACAAATATTCTGCTTGCTGATTGAACAAGCAGCAAGAGTAAACACTCTTATCTCCTGACAGATTATCTGGACAGAGGACAAACAGCACCACAAACACACATAAACTTGAGAAGGTGCTGCATGAATAGGCTTAGTTGGGCTCTAAGTTTGTGCTTTCTGGGAGTCCCAGCTGGCTTGTTCTCAAAGACCTCTGTGCCACACCTTCAACATATAGTGTATCTCACCCTCCCTTTTGTACTCTTTCAACTAATCTGGTATTTCTTCTGATCTGCATTTAAATGAGCAACTCTCTCCTCCAACTCCAACTAACTGAGAGTTATCTTTGTTGTTAAAAATAGGCAGGGACATGGCTCCTGTCACACAATTCATTCATATTTTAAAAGCCAAGCCATTTAAGCAGAGGACAATTCTCAATGACTTTTTAAAAACTGCTTTATTTGAGTGCAAGATGAAAAACCTCGGTTTCACATCCTATTTTAGCCCTCTAGTAAATCCTTATCTCACAGCACCAGGGTATTTAACCGATGT